TCAATCAGAGACCAAATGACGTACATCTTAGCAATTATAGATCACAATACAACATTTTGAAATGAGCAATACCCATATAAAATCACACGCTATAAAAGGCATGACAAAATGTCAAACATTTCAAACGAAATAACAAACAGCCTTGTGTATGCACAAATCAATAAACAAAAACTCAATAATATATACAGCAAGACATGGGAACAACTGAATAAACAGCTCATGAGTTGGGATAAGCACATTTATTTAATGTGACGGGATTTTAAATGTTGGTGAACACCCTATCCTTCCCTTACCTAGGATTGTGATACAACAGTTGCACATACGTTCAAATTGTTTAAAATCAGATAAAAGGGCTTGACGCATCAGATCGTTATAAAGCACAAAGCAAAAAGCCTAAAAAACAAAACAACAAAAGCACAAACAGACTATATTGTCTGTACATTCGTGTGTTATATCGTTTTAGATTGTTGCACTTTTGTATATGATCATTCCAGATAAAAAGTTCCATGATTGATCGAAAATGTAGCAAGCTTTAGGTTTTTGTAACACAGTGTCAATACCACTGCTGATGGTCTGCAAATTTATGACGTGTCTTTTTCACTATATAGTAGTCGCACTTGAGCACATTAAATAACAGATCTAATAATTATACAGTATATTTTTGTCGAAATAGATACATACATGTTGTGATGTTACACTATTGTTTCAGAAAAAGGGTGAAGGTTTGGTACCATTAAAACGTTTAAACCCGCTGCATTTGTTTGCACTTGTCCTAAGTCAGGAATCTGATGTTCAGTAGTTGTCTTTTGTTGATGTGGTTCATAAGTGTTTCTCGTTTCTCGTTTTTTATATAGATTAGACCGTTGGTTTTCCCGTTTGAATGCTTTTACGCTAGTAATTTTGGGGGCCTTTTATAGCTTACTGTTAGGGCAGGGCTCCGTGTTGAAGACCGTACTGTGACCTATAATGGTTTACTTTTATAAATTTTGACTTGGATGGAGAGTTGTCTCATTGGCACTCATACCACATCTTTTTATATCTATGTTCTCTATCAGCTAAAAACCATCATTGTTGCAAAACTTAAAAATCATGATTTAGTTAAGTTTTGGATGCAAAATATTTTTCTTTAAATGTAGTCACACCGACAATATCCAATGTGTTCAAACAAAACGATTTAGTATTTTGATAAGGAACTTACCATCCTGTCCGTCTTGGCCGTCTCGTCCTGTTATGAAAATGTATGTTTTAGGATATGTTAATGTTATAGAAACTATTTGTTGTGACATTACCATATGTTATAATGTGTGATATTTTCGATTCGTTTACATACTATGAGTATATGAGATAAGCTGTTAATAGTTGATATTTACGATATGTCTCTAGATACCTTCAGTATATGAAGTTACAAGTTGAAAATAGCAACAATTTGAGATCAATACTTTTGATGAAATAGAAAAATGATTCAAACTTGTTGCAGTTTCGTTCCTTATGAATTATGTTAACCACTGTCTGGATATGTTTAAGGTTATGAATGCTTAAGGTAGAGTTACTTATGTCTCGTTTGCGTTATGGGGATGAATACAAAGGCGTCATATAAAAAACTTTCCATGATAGCCCCACTAGGATTATGTTAACTCTTTGACTTGAACTAAACTGACAGTACCTCAGATGGCAAAGTTTGTGTAGTGTTTCGTCGGCTTTAATCATAAGTCGCGAGTGACAATTATATCACATTCTTAAAGAATGCGAGTTATTTTCGGTGAAGACGTTAGCTGATCAAATGATTATTATTAAATGTTAACCAAGTTTCATCGTCAACAACGAACTTAATTACAGTTGACGATAATATACATTTTGTAAAATGGACGTCACTAATGCAAGATAACACAGGCGTTTGATATTTGTATGTTTTCATATTGAATAAAGTCTTCATTCTTTATTATAACATCTGCAACGTGACAATTGATAAAAATCATGTACACGTAAATTACCATTTGGTCCAGTAAAACCTGAAATAAAGAAAGGAGCATTAAATGATTATATTATAATAAAGGTATTCATGGTTCACGGAACTGACATGTGACTTCTTATATTTTGATGATTTGTTATAATACTGATGCTATATAAACAGTTGATATTTACCTTTACATACCATGACTGTATGAAGTAACACGTTAACAGTTGATATTTACGATGCGTTTACATACCATGATTATATGAAGTAACAAGTTAACAGTTGATATTTACGATGCCTTTTCATACCATGATTGTATGAAGTAACAAGTTAACAGTTGATATTTACGATACCTTTACATACCATGATTGTATGAAGTAACAAGTTAACAGTTGATATTTACGATAGCCTTTACATACCATGATTGTATGAAGTAACAAGTTAACAGTTGATATTTACGATGCCTTTACATACCATGATTGTATGAAGTAACAAGTTAACAGTTGATATTTACGATGCCTTTACATACCATGATTGTATGAAGTAACAAGTTAACAGTTGATATTTACGATATCCTTACATACAATGAGTATATGAAGTGATAATTCAACAGATTGATACTCATACTACAGTGCAGTAGTTTGTAAAATGAGTTCATTAATTGATCATTTGAACACGTTCTTTCGCGTTACAAATCTATAATAATCACAATTGGACGCAAATAGGTTTGATGAAATAGTAAATGATTAAAACGTTTTGCAGTATGAACTCTTTTAATTTATGTCTGTTGGTTATGTTTACAATACATATGTAAGGGTCTCTATGCCTCATTTGTGGTATAGGATGAATACAGAGGCACCCATTTCTTATCTGAAAGGGCATGCAAATTTACCTTATCGCCTTACTTGGAACTATGCCATATATTTGACCTTTACTGAACTGACAGTTATGAAGGTAACAGAGTTTGTGCACTGTTAGCGCCGCTTTAATTAAAATTTGGAATTGGCATATATTTCTCATTCTAAATGAAGATACTTTGAAATTAGTTCATATAAACTTGCTTTGGTTAAAAAAAGAACATCTTACTTTGCAAGACAAACATTTAACGATTATTTTAACAAATTGCTTTTCAAAACAGAGATAATTAAGATGCTTTTTTTATCGTTTAAGATTTCATGATAATGTAAGTATAACTAGGTTTAACGACTACAGATCCAGGGAAAAAGTGTTAACATCTGTTTAATGTTATGGAAATATTTACATAGTGATGATGTTATCTTAAGATGCTCTTCCTTTTTACTACACTAGAATGTAAGATGATGTTTTGATGTTCAGTTGATTTCCCTAGAGAATACTAGAGGAATGTGTGAAGATTCTTGAAATAACATTATACAACTCCAACTGCAACCGATTCATTTATTTTCACCAAGCTAGGAACATGACAAGGACACATTGTGTAAGTCGTTGGCCAAATATCTGTATCAAAAGTGATGTTTGTAATGTTTGAATGTTGGAGGTTTCAATATATTTATAAGCATATAGCTAGCTTATGTTGTACTTTGCTTTACTTACCTCTGTCTCCCTTGTCTCCTTCCGATCCTAAAATTATACAGATAAAATGGTTTTGTTTCTATGATAAATGTATTATTTTGTAGGGGCCAGCTGAAGCCCGCCTCCCGGTGCGTGATTTTCTCGCTGTGTTGAAGACCCATTGGTGGCATATGGCTGTTTTCTGCTCTTTGGTCAGGTTGTTGTCTTTTTGACGCATTCCCCGTTTCCATTCTCAATTTTATTTAAAAATTCGATTGAAACAACATTTAAACGCATATTAACATAATTAGCTTCTGATTTGTATATGGCTTTATTGGCAAATAACTCTCGTTAAATGAACAAAAATGACATCGACGTTCGACTGTTCGTCTTAGCAATAGTCCTGTAAAACCCTAGTTATGCAATGAACTTATCTTTAATGCACCATAATAAACAATTTTCTAAAACTGCAGTTGCATTTAAAATATGCAATGTTATCAAGTAAAACAGTATATGCAATATTTTATGAACGCTTCGATGACTCTAAAATACCATGAGTATATGTAACAACAAGTTAACAGTTGATATTTCTTTACATAACATGAGTAGAAGAAATAACAAATTAACAATTTGATAACCATAGTGATACCAAACTGCATCTGTTTGTTAAACGTGTTCCTTTATTAAACAATGTCATTCTCGGTAAGAATTATTAATGTCAACAATTTGAGCCTACACGTTTTGATGATATAGTAAATAATTAAAACTGTTTGTAGTCTCAATCCTTTTAATGTATGTTAACCGATGTGGGTAATGTAAAATTAGGCTTTATAATGCTTATTCTAGAGTAACGTATGCTTCATTTGCTAAATGTGGATGATTACAGAGCCACCCACGTCATGGTATTGATTTGACTTTTACTGTACTGACAGTAATAAAGGTGGAAGAGTGAGTGCACTGAGTTAACCCCCAATGCTAATGATTTTTTTTATATTGAGCCTGCTACAAACGCAACAAAATATCAGTGTGTATCTGAACTCGTCATAGGTACAACTATCACAAAAATGTACGCTAAACGCGCATTTTGTGTAGTCTACAAGAGACTCATCAGTGACGATCAAATGTTTTACTTACCGGTATTTCCTGTGTATCCCCTGTCTCCTTTCGATCCTAAAAGTATATAGATAATATGGTAAATATGTTTTATTTCATTGATAAAATTATCTAAGAAAATGCATTTGATTGCAATTACAATTAAACTTAATTTTTCATTCGTAAATTCTGTTTCTAAAGATTTTTTTATGACGTTAATTGCTATATAATTGTAGTTACATACATAATGATGACATTTACGTTCAACTTAAACATTGCTGATGACGGCAAATTAATAGAAAGTTGAAGCATGTTTGATTTTATCGACAATTCATTTAAGTTTCAATGTGGTCTTTTATTTGTGCATTTTTATTGCAAATGCCAGATTTGTCAACAAGAGAACAAATGATGTAGATGATAGCAATTATAGATCACCATACATCATTTTTAATCGAGTAGAAACCACTATCAAATCGCAAACTATCAAAGACATAAAAACGGAATAACCAACAGTCTTATTTTTGTACAAATCAATAAACGAAAAATAAAAAATATATACAGCCAGATACGACTACTAAAGAATAAAAGGCCCATGATTCATTTAATGCGACAGGATTTCAAATGTTGGTGAACGCCCAATCCTTTTCTTTAAAGGTATTGTTGTATTACATCTGAACATAAGATTAAACTGTTTAAAAGGTTAAAAAGGGCGGGACTCATCAGATCGACACAAAGCAAAAAGCACAAAAAATAACTCACAAAAAGTACCAATCATATTGTCTTTACATTATAGGGTTATATAGTTTTTGTCTCTAATTTCTCAATCTGCGATGATTGTTTTTAAAATCAATGACATCAACATCAATCACAATCATTAAAAAATATCTTTAAAAAGCATCGGAAAATCTGATAATGTTTTCTTTTTCAATTTTGACTTTATTCTTCAAACCCGTTTTGAAATTTATAAACCTTCTGTACATATATTTCATTATTTAAATCATATGCATTTTCATTCTTTCTTTAAAGCAAATTAAATTAAATAAAGTGTTCACCAAATACATACCGGTCATGCCCTGTTGTCCTGTTGGTCCTGTTGGTCCTAAAAGAGAGTAAGTATATCTTACTGTAGTCGACATAATTTGTTGTTGAAAAAACTCAACAATTATACAAACAAATGTATCTCCGAAATCCGAAACAGAGATAATAAAGATCCTTATTTCTTCTAATAAGATGTGTAACGACCAAAAAAGCCTAGACAAAGATTTTAACATCCGTTTAATGTTGTATGATTATTTGTTAGTAATGATATTTTTCTTACGAAGGTCTCCAATTTATCAACTTAAATGTAAGGATATACACTCATGTTTAATTGATCACCCTAGAGAATAATGGAGGAAAATGTGCAGCTTTTGAATAATAGCCTGGTATAACTCCTGCTACAACTAATTTCTTTATTTTGATCCCTCTATGAACGCAAGCAGATCTTATTGTGTCTATGACCAAATGTTTGTATAATAAACTCACCATAGACAACAGACTAATCAGTATCACTAGAATGAAAAAAAGCTAAAAAGGCCAAATAAAATACGAAGTTGAAAAGCATTGAGGAGGCAAACATTATTCTTGTATTGCATTAAGATTGGAGGTTTCAAAACACAGTTAAATGTTGTATGTTATTTTTACTTACCGGTATTTCCTTTGTCTCCTTTTCCTCCTTTCGGTCCTAACAATATAAAGATATAATGATAATGGTTAGTACGAACAGTTTCTTTGATAAATGTATTTTAAAAGATGCGTTCGATTGAAACTACAATTAAATCCATATTTCATGTTGTTTGTTTTTGTATATACAAAGTATGAACAAAAAATAAATAATATATACAGCAACACACGACAACTTCTGAATTAAAGCATCATGACTTTGGATAGGAATATTCATTAATGTGACGGGGTTTGAATTTTTGGAACGCCCATTCCTTCGCCTTCTTTGGATTGTGATGTAACCGCTTAACAAAAGATCGAACTGTTAAATATCAGTTAAAAAAGGCATGACGCATTGGATAGGTACAAAGCACAAAGCAGCACACAAGAATTTCCGAACCTACAGTCTTCAAATTATTGTGTTATATCGTTTATTTTGTTGATGATCAAATCGAGATAAAAATATCAATTATCGATCAAAAGTTTAATAAGTTTTCGGATTTTGTGACACAGTGTCAATACCACTGCTGGTGGTCTGCAATTTAATAACGTGTTATTTTTATTATATAGCAGCCATACTACATCTATTAAAAAATCTAATCATAAAACAATATATCTTAAAAAAACACAAAACAGATAGAGACATTTCTCTATCAGCTAAAATCATCATTATTACAAAGCTTCAAAATCATGATACAGTTAAATTTTGGATTTAAAAGATTTTTCGTCAATTGTAGTAAATGCACAATGTGTTCAATGAAAACAGTGACGTATTTTGATTCTGAACTTACCAGCCCGTCCTTCTCTGCCGTATCTTCCTGTTAATGTAAATTCATTCTTTAGGATAAATTAATACTGAAGAAATTATTGGCAGTAAATTTATCATATGTTATAATGTATGATATTTTCGAAGCCTTTACATATTATGAGTATATGAAGTAAACAGTTAACAGTTGATATTTACGATGTCGTTAGATACCATGAGTATATTAAGATAAAAGTTAACAGTTATATATCCATTCTAAACTGCATCCGTTTGTTATATATGTTAAACGTGTTCCTTAATTCAATTTCAACAAGGTCTTTACCGTTACAAGTTGAACATAGCAGCTATTTGAACCCAATAGTTTTGATGAAATAGAAAAATGATTCAAACTTCTTGTAGTCTCTTTTCAGTGGAAGTATGTCCAGATATGTATAGACAAGTTTAAGAATGCTTAAGGTAGAGTTATTTATGTCTTTATTTCAGTATGGGATGAATACAAAGGTGTCATTTAAAAGAGAATGCAAATTTCCATAATCGATCAACTAGGCGCATGCCATATATTTGACTTTAACTGAACTGACAGTTCTGCAGGTGGTAGAATTTGTGCAGTGTTTGATAGGATTTACTCATAATTCACAACTGACAATTGTTGCACATTTAAAAGAATGCAAGCTATTTTTGGTGTAAATGTTTGCCGATAAAATGAAGGTAATACAATTTCAACCATGTTTCATCGTCAACATCGAACTTCGTTACACGTTACGGTGAGTATACATTTTGTAAAAGTTATGACGCTTTTGTGTACGTCACCAAATGGAAGATAACATAGGCGTGTCATGTTCGTATTTTGTATATTCAATTAAGTCCTTAGTCTTTATCATAACATCTGCATATCATTTATATATTTTTTTAAACGTAAAAATTGCCAAAATCATGTTCACGTCAATAAGTTAAGAAATTACCCTTTAGTCCTGGAGGTCCTGAAAAAGATAAAGCAGCAGTAATTGATTATACAATTATACATTACATATATTTTATGAAAGTTACTATAACAATAAAATACCACGAGTTTATAAAGGAACAATTTAACTGTTGGTATTTGAGATGACTTTACATATCATTAGACTAGTATAAAAAACTACCATGAGTAGGAGAAATAACAAATTAACAGTTTGATACCTATAGCAATACAAAACTTCATTTGTTTGTTAAACGTGTTCCTAAATTATTTTAACAAGGTCTTTCTCGGTACAAATTGAAAATACCAATAATTCGAGCCAAGAAGTTTGATGATATAGTAAATGATTTAAATTATTTATTTATAATCTCGTTCCTTTTAATTTATGTAAACCCCTGTGGGTAAAGAAAAATTAGGCTTTAAAATGCTTATGCCAGAGTTACTTATGCCTCGTTTGTTTGATGTGGATGATGTCGGAGGAACCCGGGTCTCATATGAATGGGGATCCAAATTAACAGGATTTCCCAACTAGGAACATGATATATATTTAACTTTTACTGAACTGACAGTAATTAAGGTGGCAGATATTGTGCACTGTAAACTCGGCTTTAATTACAATTTGAATAATTCGCATTTCTAATGAAGATACTTTAAAATTGTTTGATACAAAAATGATTCGGAAAAAAAAGACATAATACTTTATGGAAAAAAAAAAAATTTGGGAATTATTCTAACAAACTGCTCTCTGGAAGGGAGATCCTACAGATATTTAGTTTTGTCATATAAAAATTCCGTGATAACGTTATGATCAATAATGTTTAACGACTAATATCGTTTGAAAAAGTTTACACATTTGTTTAATTGTAGAATGATTGATTGATATAGTAATGGTTTTATTTAACGAGGGTCTTTACTTTATCTATTGTAATGTAAGAATGTATACTCATGTTCAATGTGTGAAGCTTTTGGATAAAAGCCTGACATAGCCTCCACAGCAAAGGAATTTTTCATTATAAGCCCCCTACGAATGCTACAAAATATCATTGTGTCTCTGACCAAATATTTTTTTAATAAACTCATGATAGATACCACGATTACAAATATGTACGCTTGCCGCGTGTTTCGTCTACAAAAGACTCCTCAGTGACGCTCAAATGCTGTATATTGTCTTACTTACCGCGATCTCCTATGTTTCCCCTATCTCCTGTCGATCCTAAAATCATATGGATGATACGGTTAGTAAGAATAATTTCTTTAATAAAAGTATTTAAGAACATGCGTCAGATTAAACTACAACTTAACGTAAATTTTCATTAACAGCTTCTGCTTCTGAATGGTTTTTTTTTATGACGTTGCAATTTTATGCATTATGATTGCAAATGCATGATTTATCCATCAGAGACATGATGCCGTAGATGTTAGCAATTATAAAACACCATACGGCCTTTTGAAATGAGCAAACCCCGTACAAAAGGAAAAATTTGTATGTAGCATGTTTAGTATGACGAAAGAATTTCCACTTTTTTACTCGTACTATGAATAACACATTTATTTTGTAAAAAATGTGTCTGTACTCCTAACAAAACAAAATTATTATATTTCAATTTATCTGTTTTCAATTTATCTGTGTACGTTATTTAACGCCATTTTGTCCTAAGTCAAAGTTGTCTTTTTGACATTGAAACATCCTTTTTATTTATATTGGGTCAAAGATCAAACTTATTCGTTCAGTGTATATTTACTTGTTTTTGTGAATTGTCTTTTTGATCGAGTTAAGCCGTTTTACTTGATATTTTATTGTGTGTCTTTTTATGTTGTAATGTTATACCACTATTTCAGGTTAGGATAAAGGTTGGCGCCCGTTAAAACGTTAAGACCCGCTGCATATTTATTCACCACTTGTTCTAAGTCAGGAGCCTGTTGTTCAGTGGTTGTCGTTTGTTGGTGTGGTTCATAAGTGTTTCTCGTTTCTCGTTTTTATATAGATTAGACCGTTGGTGTTCCTGTTTGAATTGTTTTACACAGTCTTTTTGTGTCCTTTATAGCATGCTGTTCGGTGTGAGTCAATGTACCGTGTTAAAGGTCGTACTTTGACCTATAATTGTTTACTTTGTACACATTGTGACTTGGATGGATAGTTGTCTCATTGGCACCCATACCACATCTTCTACTTCATATTGACAAAATGTGAAACAATTCAATGACAAAACCATATTGATGTACAAATCAATAAACGAAAAATAAATAATATATACGGCAAGATACGTCAACTACTGAAAATGATGCTAATGACTTGGTATAGGCACATTTATTTAACATGACGGGATTTTAAATGTTGGTGAACGCCCAATCCTTCCCTTACATGGGATTATGGTTGAACAGCTGAACATCAGATCAAACTGTTAAAAATCAGTTGAAATGGACTTGACGCATCAGATAGAAACAAAGCAAAAAGCATAAAAAAATCTTACAAAAAGTACCCATCCTATTGTCTTGACAGTCGTTTTAGATGTATGTAATAATATTGAAGACAACTCCAAATAGAAGGTTCCATGATCGATTCAAAATGTAAAAGGTTTTCTGTTTTTGTAACAGTGTAAATACCACTGCTGTTGGTCTACAAATTTATAACGTTTTATTTTTATTGTATAGCAGCCTGACTGAATCACATCTTATAATAGATCTAATCATAGAGCAATATCTATATGAAATCAGATACAGACATTTTCTATCATCTAAAAACCATCATCTTTTTAAACTTCAACGCAATGATTTGATTAAGGTTTGCATGTGAAAGAATAGCATGACAAATGTAGGACGATTAACAGTGCACCGTTTATTCATATAGAACATATGCATTCAATATTTTTCTTTTTAAACATTATTATATGTCTTAAACAGTTTATTCTTTTATACAATTTCCAGTTGCAATACCAATTCCCAAAACTCTTTCATATGATAAGGATAACTGCTATATGACTTTAGATTTTGATATGAAAAGTAACTATCTCTGAAGTGACTTAAATAATAACAGTTTCCTTCGTTTAACACTTAATAAAATGAAGTATTTACATTATATAGAACCTTGAAAAATGTATTTCAAATCTAGCTGTCATTACTTGAAGCTGCGAAGTTGTTGAAATCAATAAGAACTAACAAATCTGATGAACAAATGGACAAGTTAGCTTCATCTATATAATTATATAGCTATGTACACAGACTAAGCTCTCATAGTATTTTCCATGTTCCTTTTGAAAAAAATCTTAATAGTGTGGAAGAATTTATTTCTATTTCCATACTTTTGTTTTATCTGAAATTGTATTGTTTTCTCAATTTTGACTTTCTTCTACAAATACGTTTTGAAATCCATAAACATTTAGTACATATGTTTGATTGATATGGATTTAATCAATTTTTAAATGTAGATAAGTTCAATTAATTGCAACAAATACATACCGGTCGGACCCTTTTGTCCAGTTGGTCCTTCTGGTCCTGAAAGAGAGAAAATATATCATACTATTGTGTATGTACTCGCATAAAGTTCAAACCTTCAAAAGTTAAGTGGAACTTTGTTGGATATGACTATATCATCTTTACGTCCCTTTTTGGTAATTGTACTGGTCAGAAAAAGACTTTCATTGAGATTTTAATCTTGTTCCTTTTAATTTATGTTAATTATTAACGTGTTGGTTATGTGTGATTAGGTATGCAATGATTTTGCTAGAGTTATTTATGTTTCTTTTGTGTTTTGGGGATGAATACAGAAGCATCACCTGAAAGTGAATGCAAATTAGCAGGGTCGGCCAACAAGGACCATGCTATATATTTGGTTTTAACTGAACTTATAATACTGCAGGTGACAGAGTTTGTGCAGTGTAAACTCGGCTTTTATCATAATTCGCAATTGACAATGATTTCGCATTCTAAAAGAAAACTTACTTTCAAAATGTTTTATTCACAAACTTATTTGATGAGAAAGGACAACAGATAGTAATGATTTTATATTACGAGGGTCTCTAATTTATCAAATAAAATGAAAGGATATATACTCATGTTCGGTTGATCATCTTACAGATTACTGGAGGAATGTGTGCAGCTTCTGGATAATTGACTGATATAACTCCTACTGTAACTGATTTCTTTATTTTGATCCTAGTTGGAACGTGACAAGATCTTATTGTGTCTTTGACCAAATATTTGTAAAAAAAACTCATCATAAATACCACACTTATTGTGTTCGTAAGACACTCGTTTCGTCTACAAAAGAATCATCAATGACGCTCGAATCAAAAAAATTAAAAATGCAAAATGAAGTACAGTTTAAATTATGTATGTTGTTTTACAAATGTTTTACTTACCATAATTTCCTGTGTCTCCCTTATTTCCTTTCAATCCTAAAATTGTATAGATATAAAGGTATGTACGTAATTTGTATTTTAAAAACAATTACATCGATTGAAACTACATTTCACATTATTAGCTTCTGCTTCTGTATGGGTTTTTATGACTTTTATTGCCATATAACTCTAGTTAAAAAAAAAGGATGACATTGACGTTTCATATTGAGGACGTTAACTTTCCGGAAAATCAATAGAACGTGGAATAAAAAAATAAGAAGATGTGGTATGATTGCCAATGAGACAACTCTCCACAAGAGACCAAATGACACAGAACTATCGTTCACCGTACGGCCTTCAACAATGAGCAAAGCCCATACCGTATAGTCAGCTATAAAAGGCCCCGAAATGACAAATGTAAAACAATTCAAACGAGAAAACTAACGGCCTTATTTATGTACAAAATATTGAACGAAAAATAAATATGCTACACAGCAGCAAACGAAAACCACTGAATTACAGGCTCCTGACTTGGGACAGGCACATACAGAATGTGGCGGGGTTAATCTACTTAGATGGCGCCAAACCCTTCGCCTAACCTGGGACAGTGGTGAAACAACACAACATAAGAACACACTATACAAAACAATGAACGAAAAACAAATATGATAAACAGTAAGAACCAACAACCACCACTCAAGTACAGACTCCTGACTTGGGACAGGCATATAATGTGGTGGGGTTGAACTAGTTTAAAGGCGTCAACCCACCTTAACCTGTGACAGTAGTGTAACAGTACAAAATAAGAACAAACTATAAAAATCCGTTGAAAAAGGATTAACGCATCAGATGGATACAAATAGAAATACATCTAACAAAAACACAGAGTGGACGTGGTTAGGTACTTATACATCCCCACAACAAAAAGACTCTAAGTCAGATCTGAGAGTAACCGCAGTTACTGACAGCTAGTTCAAAGCCAATTACAACTAATAAAAAAATCATGCAGCTTAGACTAAAATGATTTGATTGAAAATTCATCTAAAGTCCATTGAAGTCCTATAGAAACAATGAAACAGCTATCCACCAGAGACTAAATGATGTAGATAATAGCAATAATAGATCACCATATGGCCTTTCGAAAGAAGCAAACTGCTGTTAAACTTACCTTTATTTCCTGTCTCTCCCTTTCCTCCTTTCGGACCTAAAATTATAAAACCATCATGACGGTTAGTACGAAATGTTTCGTTAATAAATGTATTTAAGAAAAAGCGTTCGATTAAAACTACAATTAAACGTATTCTTAGCTTCTCCTTCTGATAGTTCATTTTTTATGATGTTAATTACCAGATTACTTATGTTAAATGAACAAGAATGACATCGGCGTTCAATTTTGGAGACTAAACATTATTGATGGTGCCAAATCAATAGAAAGCTGAAGCATGTTTGATTTGATTGACAATCCATTTAAAGTCCCTTTGTGGTCCTATTGGTCTTCAATGCACTTATAAGAATATGCATTATAATTGCAAATGAAACCATAATCCCACACAGACAAAATAACGTAGATGGTAGCAATAATAGATCAACAAACGGGCTTTTTAAATAAGCACAAAATTAGTTGAAATCCATTGAAGAGCCTAACCTTATACTTGTATTAAATGAAGGTTGAAGACTTCAAAATACAGATGAAATGTTGTATGTTGTTATACTTACCGGTATATCCGATGTCTCCCTTTTCTCCTTTCAAACCTTAAATTAAAAAAACATTGGTTAGTAAGAAATGTTTAGTTGATAAATGTATTTACGAAAATGCGTTTGATTGAAACTACAATTAAACATTTTCATAGCTTCTCCTTCTGATGGTATATTTTTATTAGGTTAATTACCAGATTCCTCTTGTTAAATGAACAAGAGTGACATTTAAGTTCAATTTTTTGGTCTTAAACATTCCTGATGGTGCCAAATCAATAGAAAGTTGAAGAATGTTTGATTTGATTGACAATATATTTAAGGTGCCTTTGTATCCTATTGGTCTTCAAAAACTTAAAGGAATACGCATTATGATTTCAAATGAAACCATAACCCCCACAGACGAAATAAAATAGATGTTAGCAATAATAGATTAATATACGGGCTTATGAAATGAGCAACACCCATTACAAAGCGCAAGCTTTAAAAGGCATGACAAAATGTCAAACAATTCAAATGAAAAAACCAACAGACTAATTTATGTACAAACCAATAAATGAAAAATAAATAATATTTACATCAATATGTATTGCAAATCCTGATTGTTGCAAAACCTCAACACTATGATTTCGTTAAGTTTTCGATGTCAAAGAAAAGCATTACCAATGTTGGACGATTAATTGTGCGTATATTATTCATTAAGATCTTATACATTAAACAGTCGTTTTTATTAATACATAGGATATGTCTTATACAGTTTATGTTTATTGCAATTTACCATGATTTCGATATAAATTCCCAAAACTCTTTGATATGATTAGTATAACTGCTGATTTGAAAGCAAAAATCTCTGAAGTAAATAATGTTTTTGTTAAGGAAGGACATGCCACTCTGCAGGAATAACTCAAAAAATTATTCTATGAAATTCACCATCAAAACGAAAATCATGAAGATGCTTATTTTTTCGTATAAGAATCCGTGATAACGTAAGGTTTAACTTTAGTTTAACGACCAAACATTCATTCCAAACGTTTTAGCATCTGTTTAATGTTGAAGAAATAATTTATATAGTGATTTTTTTTTTCTTACAATGGTCTCCCATTTATCAATTGAAATGTAAGGATATATACTCATGTTCGGATGATTACCCTAGATAAAACTGGAGGAATGTCTGTATCTTCTGGAATCTAGCCTGATCTAACTCCTAATTGAACACCACGCTTAAAAATGAGTTCGTTAGACGCACGTTTCGTCTACACAAAACTCATCAGTGAAGCTCGAATTAAAAACATTACAAAGGCCAAAAACAGTACGAAGACGAAACACATTGTTGAGCCAAACATTATACGTGTATTCCATAGAGTCTGAAGGTTACAAAATAAAGTTTAAATGTTGTATATTGTTTTACTTGCCCTTTTCTCCCTTTTCCCCCTTGTCTCCTTTGTCTCCTTAAATAAAATAGATATAACAATTAGTTCGAACTGTTTCTTCGATAAATGTATTTGAGACAATGCGTTCGATTGAACCTACAATTCAAAAATGACATTGACGTTTAATTTTGGACCTTAAACATTCCTGACTGCAAATCGATAGAAAATTTATTCGATTGAAAATTCATTGTAGGTCCATTATGGTCCAATACGTCCTCAATATACATATTATAATATGCATTATGATTGCAAATGAAACAATTATCAGCCAGAGAGCAAATGACGTACATGTTAGCAAATATAGATCATGTTACGGCTTTTTGAAATTAACAAAACACATACCAAATCTCAGGCTATAAAGGCATCACACAATGTATACAAACCAATAAACGAAAACAAGATAATATATACATCAATTCATGACAACTACTGAATTAAAGGTTCCTGACTTGGGATATGCACATTCATTAAATATGACGGAGTTTTAAATGTTTGTGAAAGCCCAATCCTTCATTTACATTGGAATATGGTATAACAGACATACATAAGACCGAATTGATAAAAATCAGATGGAAACGGCCGAGACGCATCAGATCGATACAAAGTTCAATGCATAAAGATCAATGCACAAAGCAAAAAAAAAAAAATAACTCACAAAAAGTACCGATCCTATTGATTATACATTTTTGGTTTATATTATTTTAGATTTATGTATTTTTGTTAAAGACAATTCCTGATAGAAAGTTCCATGATTGAACCAAAACAAAATAAGGTTTCTGTTTAGGTAACTCAGTTCCAGTACTACTGCTGGTGTTTTGCAAATTTATAACGTGATATTGTTATTATATTGCAGCCGTACTTATGCAATTTAATAATAGATCAAATCATAAAACGATATATCTCTATGAGAGCAGATACAGACATTTTGTATCAGCTTAAATCCATCATTGTTGCAAAACCTGAACACTATGATTAATTTCGGTTATGCATTACAAATGTAAAAGGAGTAATTGTTGCTATACTATTCATGAGATCATCTCTGTTAAATAGTCATATACAGTTTATTTTTTATTACAAATTACAATTTCGATATAAATTTCCACAAATCTTTAATACGATTAGTATAACTGTTGATATGAAAGCAAAAATCTCTGAAGTAAATAATGTTTTTGTTAAGAAATGACATGCTACTCACCAGGAATAACTCAAAAAATTATTCTAAGAAATTCACCTTCAAAACGAAAATCATGAAGATACTTATTTTTTCGTATAAGAATCCGTGATAACGTAAGGTTTAACTTTAGTTTAACGACCAAAAATCCATTCCAAAAGTTTTAGCATCTGTTTAATGTTGCAGAAATTATTTATATAGTGATGATTTTATCTTACAATGGTCTCCCATTTATCAATTGAAATGTAAGGATATATACTCATATTCGGTTGATCACCCTAGATAAAACTGGAGGAATGTCTGTAAAACATGCAGCTTCTGGAATTTAGCCTGATCTAACTCCCAATTGAACACCACGCTTAAGAATGAGTTCGTTAGACGCACGTTTCGTCTACACGAGACTCATCAGTGAGGCTCGAATTAAAAAAACTTACAAAGGTCAAAAACAGTACGAAGACGAAACACATTGTTGAGCCAAACATTATACGTGTATTCCATAAAGTTTAAATGTTGCATGTTGTTTTACTTGCCCTTTTCTCCTTTTTCTCCCTTTTCTCCCTTGTCTCCTTTCTCTCCTAAAATAAAATAGATTTAACAATTAGTTCGAACTGTTTCTTCGATAAATATATTTGAGACAATGCGTTCGATTGAACCTACAATTAAAGAATGACATTGACGTGTAAGTTTGAACCTTAAACATTCCTGACTGCAAATCGATAGAAAATTGATTCGATTGAAAATTTATTGTAGGTCCATTGTGGTCCAATACGTCATCAATATACATATTACAATATGCATTATGATTGCAAATGAACCAATTATCCACCAGAGAGCAAATGACGTAGATGTTAGCAAATATAGATCATGTTACGGCTTTCTGAAATTAACAAAACACATTCCAAAACTCAGGCTTTAAAGGCATCACACAATGTAAAACATTATAAACGACAAAACAAAGTCTAATTTATTGTATGTACAAACCAATTAACGAAAGCAAGATAAAATATATACAGCAACACATGACAACTACTGAATTAAAGGTTCCTGACTTGGGGTATGCACATTCATTAAATGTGACGGAGTTTTAAATGTTTGTGAAAGCCCAATCCTTCATTTACATTAGAATGTGGTATTACAGACACACAAAAGACCGAACTGATAAAAAAACAGATGGAAAAGGCCGTGACGCAGCAGATCGATACAAAGCTCAACGCACAAAGCTCAATGCACAAAGCTCAATGCACAAAGCTCAATGCACAAAGCAAAAAAAAATTTAAAAAAAATAACTCACAAAAAGTACCGATCCTATTGTCAATACATTTTTGGTTTATATCATTTTAGATTTGTGTATTTTTGTTAATTGTAAAAATATTTTTAAGTGAGTGGAAAGTTTGATTCAAATTTCAAAAAAAAAATTTTTTCTAACTTGAATACAAGTATGTGCTTTAATGACAAATTAGATCAATTGCAATCAAAATGATAAATATACACCAATGGTGATACATACCAACTGGTCCAGGTGGGTCTGAAAAATAGAAAAGATGCCTTCATTATAAAAGAATCAGATATAATTGTTTTTGAAGAATTTGAATAATGTTATAAGTGATAGTTGTTTGAAGAGTTCCGTATTAGTTATTTTCCACAATATGCAACAAAACATTTAAAGTGGATTAAGAATTGAAAAGATATATGGAAAACTGTATTTAAGGCATTAAAAAGATGAGTTGTGTAATTTCATATGATGAAAACATAATCTTTCTGTCAGTCAAATTGAGGTTCTTGTGATGGCATATCAGTAATTGTAGTAGTCCTTTGTTTATTTATGTTATCATTTTCATTTATAAGATAAATGTAGCAACTACATCTGATTTTGTTCGAGTCAAGTTAAACATTTGTTTTTGTTTCCGAAACAGACGTTTTGTTTGAAATTTGAATATATCGAGAATTTTAACATTTATTTGAAAGATAGTCTTATTAATTAGAATAAAAACATATGCCGTGATACGTCTGAATCTTTCCATGATATATTATATCGTAAATAAATACAACATAGCCTATTCATTTAATAAAAGAGGGACGAAAGATACCAGAGGGACAGTCAAACTCATAGATCGAAAACAAACTGACAACGCCATGGCCAAAAATAAAAAGACAAACAGACAAATAATAGTACAGATGACACAACATAGAAAACTAAAGACCACACGAACCCCACCAAAAACTGGGGGTGATCTCAGGTGCTCCGAAAGGATAAGCAGATTCTGCTCCACATGTGGCACCCGTCGTGTTGCTTATGTTAGTACAAATCCGGTAAATAGTCTAATTCGGTAGGTCACATTCGTGAAAAGGGAAGGGTATTGTAGTTACGACATAAGGAACATATCCGATATCATCTGTGAAACGGTTATTCCATGATAAAATGATGTGAATGTAATGTTTTGTTCTATAGTACCTATTTTTTTTGAAAGTAATGTTTCTCGACATAAGCTTAGTGAACACTATACATGTAGTTTGTATGTAATAAGGTACTAACAATTATTTCCCTTATTTTCTGCAGGATGAAATATTCGTTACATTTTCAATTATTTAAATAACTACAAAAAAAAGATATAATTCCCAAAACTAAATGTGCTTTCTTGAAGCCATCTTTAAAATATTTGCAGTTAGAATGCAGATTATTGATTGTATTTCGTTCAGTTTATTGCGTTTGATTGAAGACACATACCTTCAAAATCGCGATCTTACATGAAAGAACTGTTTGTGAAATGTGATATTTTGTACTGTAGTACCCGTTTTTTTTTAAGGCAATGATTCTCAATAGTCCATGTATCCCATCGAACTTGAAATACAGGATACAACAGATTTAACCTGCCTTATATCTTGATTTACATTTAGAAATTGACAGTGAGGGTCGGTTGAACACAAAATGTTATCAATTGTCCATTAATTTCTACTACTGTAGAGAAATAGATTCTTTTGAAATGGAAAAGCTCATTATGAACTAGATCATTCGTCGTATTGGTCAATTCTGTGTACACATTGTTTACATTGTCAGGGAGATAATTAGTAAGCTCTCACAAATTTAATAATCTCAAAGAAAGTGTACATTGTTTTTTTCAAAGTTCGATACTTATACATAAATATAATGTAAAATGACTGAAAATAAAATAAATTACCGTCTGCATCGGAACATATACAGAATAACACAACCAGCAGAAAACAGGTCCAGAATAGATTCTTCATTTTTGTAATTCTAGGTCTGTACCTCTTTACGATAATTTTACAATAAATATATATTTGTTCATATAAGCTTATTATATACAAAGTCAAAAGTTTATCTCTTGAACTTAAGTTGACACTTTTTTTTATCAAGTGAAAAGTTTGAGTGAATAGGATTACGTTTTTTTTTACTATTCAAAACATAAAAGTTTTAATTAATTCTATTTCGTGTAAGAGTTCTGATCTATGTAATTAACCGTATTGATAAAATGATGTGAATGTAATGTTTTGTTCTATAGTACCTATTTTTCTAAAAAAGTTATGTTTCTCGACATAAGCTTAGTGAACACTATACATGTACTATGTATGTAATAAGTTACTAACAATTATTTCCATTATTTTTCTGCAGGATGACAAATTAGATATTTGACTTGTCCCAGTTAATAAAAGGTCGAAAGCACTTTTTTAATTACTTAATTATGATTGATTGACTGATTGCTGCTGAATATTCAGCAACAGAAATTTCGGTTGATGTCATATTAATTTAATATGTCGATATTCTACTTTTTCCTAATCAAAGAAAGATCAAGTCGGATTTTTAACATGCTAGCTGATTATCACTGTGTAATAATCGGAAAAAGAAATGTTTTCCTGATATTCAACCATTTATGAAAAAGTTTTGCATAACAGAATCGAAAAGTAATAAACTAAAAGTGATGTTTTGAGGATACCATTTTGGCTTTTTGTTCATCGCCTAAATAAGTTCATCCCTTATAACGTATTTTCATCAACAATTAATTTGTATCTTTATTTATTTATTTATTTATCTATCTATTCATTTCAGCTAATGATAGGAAGAAAAATCGATATATAGTAAATCCATCTTTCTTCCGACTTTCGAACTCACTACAACTGTTACCTATTAAAAAGCCCAGAAAAAAAAAGAAAATGACAACATATTTTAAGGTCGTGAAAGGTGAATGAAAAATGAAATTTAACCAACTATGAATCTTTTTCACTGAATGACCTTTTCATTTCTGTATTTCGTATCTTAAAAAGTCCATTGATGAAGAAATGCGTTATTGTCAGCTTATCCTTGTTTGTTGATCATTGTGACGGTACAAAAAATATATGTTTATTGATTAATGTAAGGAGAACCCCAGATGTAGACTTTACGAACAAACCATCTTATAAATATTGAAAACTCCTTAAATTAGAAACCTGAAAAACCGCAAGGAAGCTCGGACACTTTAACGAAGTTAAGAAAGGAAATTTTCTTGGGGAACACAACAAATTTAACCAATCAAGGTTTGGAACATGTGACTTATAGCCCGTTTTACAAAAGTGCATCAAAATCTATGATCTATTTTATAAAATGAATTATAGAGAACGGAATCAATTCTAGAACATTAATACATTAAAATGATTTTATTCAATCTATTTCTATATAAAAGCATTCTAATGTTCAACTACTGCATTTTCACCTGCTGTTTCAATTTTTTTATTTGAATAATTGTTCTGAGTTTCCCATTTAATAATATGAACTTCGACAGTTTATATTCTATATACAATAGACCCCAATTAAAATTTGGGTTTTTCAATCTCTCATTTAGGAGCTTTTTATAACCTACTAGTCTATATGGTTTTTTTCATTGTTCATTATTGAAGGCCGTACGGTGACCTATAGTTTTAACTTCGTCATTTGGTCTTTAGTGAATTGTTGTCTCAAAACCAATCACAAAGCATCTTCATATTCTATATTCAATTGTTAATATGTAGATAGGCAGTCAAAATGGAATTAAAAAAAATATGCCTTTTATCAATATTAATTGAAATCCTAGAACGAATGTATCTGAAAATGTGTTATTTCTTTACAAATACTAGATTTTACTGCAAATCTAGTAGATGAAATCAATTTGAAATAGTATACTGTATATATACATATCAAATCTTATTACAATTCTAACAAAAGGATTTTATCAAAATTTTAGATTCTCGAATAAAAACTTAATTTGTACAACAATAGTTTCATAGAAACATAAATTTTGTCATTGGAAATCAATTTTGTATGGTTGACTGGTTTACCGCAATTTTTGACATCTTCACCTATTATGTCTGTTCGTTTTGCTCACACATTGTTATATTCGACTGTCATACATATGAGATATTTACTAGCTATAAAACCAGGTTTAATCCACGATTTTATACATCAGAAAATGCCTGTCCCAAGTTAGGATTGGAATATGACAATTGTTTTCCATTCGTTTAATGTGTTGGAAATTTTAATTTTGCCATTTGATAAGGGACTTTCCGTTTTGAATTTTCTTTGGAGTTCGGTATTTTCGTTGTTTTACTTTTTTCATATATCTGTATTTCAAATCTCGTTACAAACCTAACTTCTGTTCACAGGTCGGCCCACCAAATCCATACATTGGGTCACAATCACAAGTGAAACCGTCATTATCATTAATGCAAGTACCACCATTGCGACACATATTGGGGTCACAGTAGTCGATAACTGAATAAATAAAAATTATGTTAGTTGTGTATAGACTTTTATGAAGAACATTTTTATCAAATGAAACCACTTTTGTTTTTGTGACAGGAAACAGTTTGTTTGATATATTTAAAAGAGAGGCGAATGAGACCAAAGGGACATTCAAACTCAGAAGTGGAAAATAAACTGACAACGCCATTGATAAAAAGAGAAAGACCAACAGACAAACAAACAAACAGATAAATAACAGTACACAAAACACAACATAGAAAACTAAAGGTACCAGTCTTGTATTACAACTCCAGTTTCCGGTGCATGTCAAAACATGGAGTGAAATAACATAGTCAATTGTTTTCTGAATTTTTTTCTGGACTCAATTTTTTCTGTGTGATTAAAAGTTTATGCTGAATTGAAACATGTATTTAGATTTAAAAAGTTGCATTTTTTGGGGGGATATCAAACCAGGAAAGTGAAAGGATATCGTGTTTACTGGAAGCGGTGCGGCCTAGTAAAAACAGCAAACAGAAAGTAGAAAAAAGTAGGTTTTCCTAACTTTTTATTCTTCGTGGCTTGACCCACTATTTTTCCATTAAATCACAATTTCACATTACATGATATGTACATGAAAAAATGTTTATATGTAGCATTTTATTTTAAAAATTTTCAAAGATCAGCTGTTTTACATGTAAGCCTATGGAGCAGTCAATTACAAGACTGCAACCTGCATAGGGATATTTTCGCATATGTTCTCTGCAAGGAAGTAGCTCATGTGGACTTTTGAGTGCCCAGAATGACAAAACATCATGATTCAAGTACTTTCTGGAAAATAAAAAATATAAGGTAGAAAATTACACTGAAAAAACTGAAATTATGTAATAATTATTATTTTTCTATGCAAGACACCATACAAATGTAATAAATAACCTCATCATAGATACCAGGATTAAATTTTTGTATTTACGCCAGACTCATCAGTACCGCTCGAATCCAAACAAGTTAAAAAATCCAAATAAAGCACGAAGTTGAAGAGCATTGAGGACCAAAATTCCTAAAAATTTTGCCAAATACAGCTAAGGTAATCTATTCCTGAGGTAGAAAAGCCTTAGTATTTCAAAATTTCGAAAGTTTTGTAAACAGTTAATTTATAAATATGACCATATCAATGATAATTCATGTCAGCACAGAAGTGCTGAATACTGGGCTGGTGCTGACTACTGGGCTGGTATAAAAAGATATAAAGCACAACAGTTTGAGGTAGAATGCGATTCTGGTAACATTACATATGTGATTTTGAATAAAAAAAGAACATAGAAAGATTATTTTCCACATGAAAACGTCAGTGCATAGCTGAATAGACAGTCACAAACAAAACTGAAAAATTTCTTTAGGGTTATTATTTTTATGGCTCAATTGTTGACATTTAGGTAGAATATATATAAAATAAACTTTTGGTGAAAAAAAATTACAAAATTTTCACTTTACAAGAGACTATGACTTCTTTTCCTGTATGCGGCACTGCAGTATTAAATGAAAATTCCATATTTGAGTAAAACATGTGTTTAAAAAGTAGAAATTTTCTAAAACTATCCATGCTGACAAGGATTTTTGTGCTTAGGTGTTACAAGTAATCAATATTCTTACCAAAAACACCAACTTGAGTATTCATTTAGTTTTTCTAGGATTTTATTGCAAATTTTATATGCATAGGTGTGTGAAGTACAGAAACAAAACCATGATATAGTAGGCATGTATGAGCATATGTGTAGTCCAAAAAGTGAAAGGTATATGTCTTTATAAAGCTGTATTGCAACTAATTTTGCATTATGACTAAGTTTTGGGGCAGTTTTTCAATTTGACTACAACAAGAAGCCCACTTGGATAGACTTCATAGAAAACAGGAGGAGGGCTAAAATGTTGTAAATGGTTTGATCAAAGCGAAGGAAAATGAAGAAAAAAAAACACAATCTCCCCTAGCTTCAAAGTATCTAAATATTTAGTAAACATTTATAAAATTAAACAAAAATGAGATTTACAGATCATTTGATAGGCATGACTTATTTCCAAATTTTGCCTTGTTTCAGGAAAGGGTACTCTTATAATAATGGGATCATATTTGATAATACAACCAAAACTATTCTTTTAATGGTATTTTGCATGTTCAATTATGGCTACCAAATAAAAAAAGTAAAAGATTTATTTTTTTAAGGCGTGTCATTACTGTTATAGGTAAGGAATAAAGGCAATAGTAGCATACCGCTGTTCAATAGTCATAGTTACCAGTATTGTATTACAATTCCAGCTTCCGGTGCATATCAAAAAATGGAGTGAAATGAGATAGTCCATTTTTTCTGGACTCAATTATTTTCTGTTTGATTAAAAGTTCATGCTCAATTGAAACATGTAATATAGAATAAATTAAAATGCATCTTTTTGGGGATATCAAAACCAGGAAAGTAGATAAAAACAGTTTTGACTTCAGGGTTAGATACCTTTTTATTCTTCATGGCATGACCCACTTTTTTTCATTAAATCACGATTTTCACATTACTAAATGCATGATATATACATGATTGTTTTTTCTATGCAGCATTTTAAAAAAAAAAATTTCAAAGATCAGCTGTTTTTTATGTACGCCTATGGAGCAGTCAATTACAAGACTGCAACCTAAAGACTGAGCGACACTAACCTTGATGAAAAATTTGTGTGAGGTCATCTTAGGTGCTGCGGAGGGGTAAGCAGATCCTGGTCACAATTCACCTTTCTCAATTGTTTTTATGATCATGATGATGTTATGATACATTCTGAAACTATTATGAAACAGAAAAACGACCTAGAGAACATATTGAAGTGGGAAATAAAAAATTAAAATATGCATTCAACTTTCTTCCAGCAAATTTCTTTTAGGAACAGGTATGTTTAAACGCCGATATAAATGTTTCATTTAGTTATTTAGTAGACGATGTTTTGTATCTTTATGCCTAATGACGTCAGTTCAAACCACATCATCTCTCTATTTACAGAATCGGAAGCCTTTTTGCATCGATGAAACAAGCAAATGTTGAACATCTTATAATAGATGTTATAGTTTTTTTGCCAAATTGAAATTATCCCACCCTAAGGTTACACTTTTTTTAGACACTCATTTCTTAAATGAATTCATATAATACCCAGTTCTTGGTGAGCAAACATGTTCAGCTTGAGTTAGAGATTCTTTACTAGCATTTTTTTTTCAAACATTTTTAACAGAAATTCAATCAATTTATAAAAAGAATCTCTTACTCTTAAAAATAAAATATCACAGTATCACAGCTTCACGAATATACATAAATATTTATTTATTTTGAGCTTCAAAACAATATGTCATTTATAAAAATGATCGAATGATAATTGCTTAACGTCTGGTGTTGATGCCAGGTCTTCGGTTGTTTCCGATAGATTAATTCTCAACTGTTGGGTAAACCAGTCTACTGTTATTGACCGTATAATTGTCTCACAATGTATTCTGGATATTGTTGTCGTAGGGTTGCTGTCTTATTGACTCACACCATATATATTCTTAATATATAGTCTAATCGTGGAATAAAAACTGTACATACTTGGCATTTATTCATTTATCCGAACAAAATAACTGCCAAGTAAAAACCGCAACAATTTTATTTACTTTTATTTTGATTTTCACCCAAAAGAACAAATTAAACACAACACAAGAGAAATTAAATGGAAGCTTCAAACAAATGTGTAAATTAATTCATACTGTCTGGTGTAAGACCATATGTTGATATTTGGTTTAAAGTATACAGACACATTAGTTTATTAATATCATTCTTCATCATAAACGACCACTGGCAGTGACATCTTATTCAAAATATAAATATGGAGATATGTTATGATGCCAATGATACACCTATCAACCAGAGTTCCAATGACAAACATATAAGCAATTATATGTATGTCCCCGTACGGCCTTCAACAATGAAAAGCATATTTTGCATTTTCAATACAGACATGTGTAGACCGAATAATATGTCTCTTGTGTGTTTATATTTGTCATTTCATATTTACTTTTTATCAATTCGTTGAACATTCTTTTTCTTTTTTTTTGTCACAATCACATGTGTAGTACAGTATCTGTGAATGTACTTCTTTCTTTGTTCAGAACGAAACTGCTAACAGCGTCATTACATTCCGGTATATGTGTACGATCAGTCCGTCAAGGGATATTGGTTCATCAATTGTTTGTAGAACTTTAGAGGTTTCATGTTTTGTGAATCGAAATGCAAATTAGTTTGTCAACCTACAAGAAAATCACAAAAAGGCCTACATTTATGTCAGCAGCTTGCAGTATAAACGAGAAAATAAACTATTTTGAAGAAATGTTTTTTTTTTATGTTGGAGTCGACTGAAAAACTTGCATACATGTAATACATAACAATGATCCATTTTCAGAGGCGGATCTTGGATTTTTCAATGTGGACTTAATTTCATAAAACGTCGTATTGTCTGGTTGATTTTATGCTATAAAGTCAGATGCTATAGATTGTGAGAAACATGAACATTATTTTTGCGATCAAAGGCCCTATACGCCAACTAGATCCGCAGCTGATTTTACTATAAGAGTGTCTGTTTTACTATTATAGATACAAGGAATTATGTAGGATTTCAATCCTTGTTGTACGCAAAGTTATATACTGCTAATTTACATCGTACAGTAATAAAATATAAAAAAAAACACGCATCATGTACAAGTTAAAGTACTAATAAGGCGTAATGTTTCGCTAACATACCGTGCCTTGGATAGCTGGATATCAGAAATACGTCACCATAGGGGTATGTGAATACAGATAATGTGTACTACTACAATGCCTACTTGTACCAGAGTACTTTAGCAATAAGTTCCCGAGCGGTATAGTGTTTTGAAACCTGTTAAGAGTGTTAGACAGAAAATTGTAAGATTAACCTTAATCATGTTAATAGAGAACTACGGGTACTAATGTGTACTACTACAATGCCTACTTGTACCA